AAGATTTAGGAACCAAAAACTAGCCAAGAAATGCCTCCAAATATACGCTGTTTACAAAAATAGTTGCTATGTCTGGGTTCACATCGCAAGTCTTATGGATTATCTTGCTCTGCAAGGCCTTGTGGCAGAACAAGCGCACGATGCTCATGAAACAACATCTCGGAATTCCAGACGTAACACTTAATTACGACGATTTAAGCGATACTCAAGTTGACAGTAAATGTGTAAGATCCAGTGCTTTTTAAACACACGACCACAGTCCAATCAAACCACAATGCCAAACTGGAGGCTGGAAGCTCTTGGGAGACTGCCAACTGTGAAGGAGAAAGATTGTATTTTTTGGATTTGGAAACGCTCACACCCCGACACTCTTCTTTAGCTTCAGGATGTACAGTTTAATACCCTTTCTGTCTCTCATCTGAGAGTTAATTATAGAATTCTAAATAACCATGACGCGTGGGCAGGTTCCCATAATAACATGTAACACCAGCTTGTAATTATTGACTTTATTTGATTTTTTCGGATGTTTGTTTATAATGCCTGGCATCAGGATCTGAAGATCAAAGAGCTGAAGACATTATTAACACAGGCTTATCATGCGAGGATAATCACTCAGGGTGTAATTACTTTGCCGTACCCTGGATAATTTCGTTTTTTCTTACTCCTTGCATAGTTTTTAGCTTGATTCAGACATCAGTGTGTCCCCTAAAGGACTGTTTAATGGGAAATTTAGCACAAATCTCTTTTCAGCTCAGTGGGGATTGCAAGCTTTGATGGCACTGATGCAACAGAGTTACTTCCCTGACATGTGTTTAGTGAATTATCATCAAGTCTTCAATGGCGGAAACTGTAACAAAATAAATCAAAAATATAAGAGTTGCGCCATCTAGTGGCCATCTATTGAATCCTTTAGCAGTTTAAATAGAGCGCAGTACATGCAACAAATCACTTTGGAATAAAGAAAAAAAATAAGTGAAATATAAAGAGTGGACATATAAAAAAGTTCAATCAAATCAAGCTGTTTTTATCAGAAAACTATTTCAGGTTTCAAATATTGTACCACAGATTCACCTTTATTTTCTGTCGTTTAGACAGGGTTTCAGCTTCAGGTCTCTGTATAGAGCATAGATGTACTTAACAACAAATCAATATTTATGACAAATTCAAATGTGCCCCCGACGCGCCATGCGACCCCTAGTGGAAGTACATTATAAATACATAGTACACGGCTGATTGTGGAATATCCCGTTAATGCCTCAAAACAAAAATGTTTGAATTATTATTATTAATATGTATGGCTGTAATAAATGAATGGAATTAAAGTTATTTTAGTCAGTTTACGTTAGCTCACAAATGACAACACAGAATAGTGCCGTGGATTCTTTCATTTTTAATGTGGATCCCCTTAACTGTTCGACCAACGTCCATAAGTTTACCACATCCCATAATTTTACAGTTTTAACAGCTAAGAAACGTCTGATATGTTTAATTTATATTGTGTAATTTTGTTATTAGAATATAGCTAGAACATCTAGGAAAACAATGTTAACGTCTGCGCTAATCAAGTGACACAATCGACTTTTATTCTCAAGACTATACAGATATCATTTTAAAAGCGGTTTATTGACATGAGGCAGCTGGTACAGATGGGTCTGTGTAGGAATGTGTTTTATTTCTTCCCGTGTTTGTGAAAGTGGGTGGTCAGTAGTTGTTGAGCTCAGAAACTGACTCTTAGCCTCCAATGAGCGTCGATCTTATTGAACCCTTACCTTAGAGATGCCTCATCGGATAGGGATTTTTTTGATAATGTACACCTGAGGCGTGGCGACTGACGCATTGTTTTAGCCGGTGTTTATCCCATCACTAGCTTATTGGTAAAGCAGTGCAGGAGGTGGAGTCTTTGGAACAAAATCTACACAGGTGTATAGAGGTCCATTTCCAGCAACTATCACTTCAGTGTCTAATGGTACAAGTGTTTACTCATTGTGGCAGAAGCTAATGGATGATTAGAAAACCCCTGTGTATCATGTTCGCTCCGCTGAAAAGAGTTTAGCTGCTTAGAGAAACAAGAAATCTCACCTTCCTTTGAGCGGGTGGAGTATCTGGGGCATCACATTTGTGGAGTCTATATAAAACTCTAAATGCCCAGAAAAAGAAAACTTTCATGTGAAACTCGATAGTCTAATCTTGTTCTTAAAACATCCGTTCCAGGGTGGTGTTCGCATCTCAAACATTTTGTATCTCGAAGTTTTACATGTAAAACGTCTAATCCATGCAACAGCTCTCAGAAACAACAGTATAAGTTGATAAAAAATGGAAAACCAGAGAAAAACCAAGTAACATTTCTTCGATCCTTAAATCTACACATTGTTAATGTAATAAATGATAATAAAACAGAATGAAACACATGGAAAATACGTAATATGTACACAAATGTGAAACCTTACGTTGAGAGTGAAGCGATGTGTCGGAGGAGGAGGAACGGATGCAGAAAACATTACGGCACTAAGTATGAAAGTTAACTTTCTCGAGATATTTCATGAATTACTAACACCAACACAGTTTCAAGCACAAGTGCAGACAGCACCGAGCGTGTGAGAAAGGATGGAGACACCGCTTTCGAGAAGACGTCACAGGGTTTCTCTAACTTGCGCTACAGAAACGTTATTTCTTTTTGGACGCCTTGACTCTATCATTTGTTGTAGCACATTATTGGCAATCTATACATAATGTTTAGATAAAACATTGTAAACAGTGATTTTTAAAAGTGTTTTACAGTGTTTCAGCCCCTTTTGCACTGTCTGCAGTGGAAGAATGGAGCTCCAGGACCCGGAAGCACAGCGCAACCTCAGACTTAACAAGTGGATAATAGAGCAGAGCTGTTGGTGTTTTTTGTACCTTGGAATTTTTTTTGTATCTCGAAGAAAAATTCGTAGTACTTTGGCACTCCATGTGTTTGGAATCTAAAGAATGGTCTGAGAAGATCTCAAACAGTCTCGGCAATTGTAATTAATTTGCACAAATTAAACCAGAAACTCTCAAAAAAAAGTAGGAAGTAATAAACTCAAGATGCTCTAAATAAAAATGCTTTCAAAAAGTGTGATTAATTTGTTTTCATCAATGGTCCAAATGAGTATTTGGAGAATCAAGTAATCCTGACATAATCACCAACTCCATTTGCAGCCCTAAACATTAAAAGAACCTCCACCATGCTTCACTCCTGCTGTAGACACTAATTAACTGCCTCATATTGACACAACTATTTTACATTTTCTCTACATTTCTATGTTTTTGTGGATATTTGAATTGGTTGGCCTTTTTGAGTGCAAAATTCCATAAAATTCTCTTTGTTCAGTAGAGGTGCCAGGGTCCCAATGGTTTCTGCCAATTCTGAGCTGTTTCTTTACAAGAGCTTGAGCAGCACATCTCGAAATTCCATTTTGCTTTGAAACCTTTGCCTGAAAGAGATCTTGTTGAAGCAGGATAAATACATGTTGTTGATGTGCTCAATCATACCATCTTTCACAACCTCACAATGGTAGAAGAATTACGCTGTTCCTCACTCAGTTTTAAGCCTCTCACACAGCTGTTGCAGTTCATTACTGGCTATAAGAATTGATGTTGGTTTGAAGGCAAAAGGTAGATCAAACAAATATTGATTTATGTTTCACTTTTATTTGCTTACTTTGCACTAAATGAACAGCCAATCGTGCTTTGTTTCAGTATTAATACTCAAATACTCCTCCCTCCATTTGAAACGTTTTTTTTTTTACTTACATTTACTCTTACGTAATATTCTAAATATTTTCACAATTTTAGCTTTACTCGAGTAAAAATGTCAGATATTCTACCCTGTTCTCAATCGCCTCACCTTTTTACCAACTCCCCATGGGTTCATTGTTAATTTTAAAGGGATCATTTGATAAAATTGATTTGATAGGAAAGTAAAGAGGCTGGTCACTGAGGTCGCAGAGGAAGCGGAGGCAATTCCGGGGAAGAGCTTCAAGTGGATTCATGGAGGCTCAAGTGTTTTTCTAACCCTCCCTTAAAGGTGCATTTCCATCCGTTTCTATCTGTATTTCCTGTTTTTTTAGCCATTGAACCACATGAAAACTATTGGTTCATTCAGTTATTTGTATCTTAACCATTTATTGCAATAGTCATTATATTTATGTGAATCTGGAAATTTGCTTCTGAAAATATTGAAGTATAGTTACAACCCACTTTTAGGCATTGCTTCAATGTTCTCTTCTCACTATGCGTGATACGTAGCAAGTCCCATGTCTCTAGCATTCACTGAAGCTGAGAAATAGATCTGCTGATTTGGTTGCTAGGGTAAAAAGTTTCGTTGCTATGGGGGAATTTGTGACATAATTTAGTAGTTAAATTAAATCAACTGCCATGTCTCTACTATTTCCCAAAGCTTAGATAGAAATATGCTAAATTGGTTGCTATGGAAAACAGGGACGTAAAGAAGTCAGGGACATAAATACAATGTTGCCCATGTCACTGCGAGTGAAACAAACAAACCACTTTATCATTTACCAAAGTTAAGATAGATTTCAGAAATTAAGATTGCTAGGTTTAACAGTTTGGTTGCTAGGGAGATGTTAGTAATGTCAAAAAAAATGGTTAGCTGTTACTATGTTAACACAAACAAACTCATATTTTCTATATTTTCATTTTTTTTTATTTCTTTTCAATGGCCATTATAAGTAAATGATAAATATTTAACCCCTTCTAGAGTTCAAATACTTTTGGTCAGTTTGAAGTTTCTAGGAAGTTCTCAGCTTTCAAAATTTGACCCCATGTTAAGTCAATGGGACATTTCCCAGCATTCCCCACAATTCCTTTAGTGGTAACAGACTGAAAAGATATAGCAATTCATGTCAGAACAGTTTGGATGTCTTGGCAAAATTTGGGGGCTGTAGCTTTACACAAATCATTTGGCTTTTATCCAAAGCAACTTACATTTGAAAGAAAACGTTTTTGTAATTTCTTGCTTTCCCTGGGATTGAACCCACAGTCTTTCACGTTGTTAACGCAATGATCTACCAACTGAGCTGCAAGAAAGCTATTTTTTTTGTCAGAACCAAAAGACAAATAACAATATATTATTGTTATTAAATATTTTTAATGTCTGAAAATACCCCAGAGAGCATTTTACTTCAATTATCATTGCTGTCTGCTCAACTAATATCTTCTAACTGTGTGATGGGATAATATACTTAACACTTCAGGAAAAACAACTGCTTTCAAGTGATAAATGGCATAGAAATTTAGCAATCAGCAGACTCTGCTGCTTTACTCAAGACCGTAAAACACAAGTTGTAATTGGAAACATTAAATGCTTCTCTGAGAGCAAACGCAAACATGTGCAGAAGTAATAGGAAATGTACTTACCCCCAGGCCTACTAACATTTTGCTGACTTCTTTCCATCACATAAAATATTTAGATCGCATGTCTGATACTAGTGAATGTATACAAGGCGTTTTTGATTACACTTTTGCTCAAAAACACCCCTTGGAACTGGTTTCAGACAATCCGACATTTCAATAATGAACTGATCTTATCTTAGGCGCTTTTCAAGGAAAACTAGACAGCATCACTTCAGGAAGAGTAATTAATACAGCCTTTCCGAACACTGCGGTATTTGATCTGTTGTGAATCTAATCACTGATGCTGTATGGAATGAATCGATTACTTTTTTGGCAATTATTGAGTAAAAACACAGAATAATATAAACATTTTGCATTTGAAGATATGTGTCAGGAAGTTTTAACAAAATAATAAAAAGCACAAAATGTAGCACTTTTGACCCTGAAGAGAATCAATTAAAATGGCTTGGCTTTAAGCAAATGAACAGTTGTTAAGTACACCATTTTTATTAGTCCGGACATCCCAAAAATTCATCCTTTTTGAATTATAGACAGACATTAAACATAATGGAAGTAAAACAATGTGAAAGTGCTCTGTGTATCGAGTTTATACTAAAGAGTGGACTTTAAGACGCTGAAACTGAATCTTTGGCTTGTCACTTGATACCACACCCCTTCCACCACCAACGCATCCTCCATTTATGTTTTAAAACAAAGCTCTTCCTCTTCTCAGTGGCAAACTACTGGTATCGTACGGTATCCACATACATTCTGGTAAAAATGTCGTCATGTAAAATCGTAGCCACTGAGAGAAATCCTGCTCCAATCGCTTTGGATTTGGAGCATCGCGAGCAACTGAGCCTCTTCCTTCTCAGACACAGGTTCTGTTACACTAGCGAGACTTCTTCCGGGGGTTTTGTTTATGTATTAGTGTGCGCGGACCTTACACTGTGTTGTAAAACCACAGCTCCTGCGTTTTCAGCTCAATTCCCCGCTTTGTGACGGTTAATCCTGAAAAGGCAGCGTCATGGTATTAACTTTTAAACGAAGTGGAGTAAAGTAACTAAGTGCAAATATTTAATTACTGTAATTGAGTAGTTCTTTCTCAGAAATCCTAACTTAGTGAGTTTAGTGTTTACTTCATACATTTCTAGTTCTGGATCTGTTCTTTTACTGCACTACTTTTCTTCAACTAATTAATAATTATTGAGCAGTTATTCTCTCTCTGGTTTTACTGTGTTGTACTCTCTATATCACTCTTTCGCCCTCTCTCTTTCATTATCTTTTCCCTCTTCCTTTCTCTTTGCTCTCTATTTTCTCTTTCCCTCGCTTTGTATCTTTTTTTTTACTTTTGCTCTCTCTATCTCATTCTCTTGTATTTTTATCTTTTGTTCTCGCACACTTTCTTTCTTCAATCTGTCTGGCTTCTATTTTCTATTGTCTCTGTTCTTTCTTTTTTCTCTCCTTTATGCTATCTGTCTTTTTTTCTTTCATGCTCTCCTTTTTTCTCCCCCTTTTTATTTTTCCGTCTAACTCCCTCTTGATCTTTCTTCTCTTTCTCTCACTCTCTCCATTTACCTTTCCTCTATTCCTCTATTTCTATCTTGCTTATAGAAACACAATTTAGCGAATGGCTCTGATGTGACAAACATTTTAAATTTGTATGTTATCCATCCATCCATCCATCCATTCTTCTTCTCTGGCTTATCCAGGGCCGGGTCGCGGGGGCAGCAGTCTAAGCAGGGACGCCCAGGCTTCCCTCTCCACAGATACTTCTTCTAACGCCGCGGGAGGGACCTCTCGACTTAAAGCTCATGAACATAGGTGAGAGTAGATCACCTATGAGGAAGTAGATCGACCGGTAAATCGAGAGCTACGCCTTTTGGCTCAGCTCCCTCTTCACCACGATTGCATCACTGCAGACGCTGCACCGATCCGTCTGTCGATCTCACGCTCCGTCCTCCTCTCACGATACTTGAACTCCTCCACCTGAGGCAGGATAAATTTGTAGGATATAAGAAGAAATAATCTATCAGTGTGATACTCGAGTAGCTTTAGCTTTTTACTCGTACTTTGAGTCGTATTTAGAACAGATACGTTTACTCGACTTTCTTAACTTTTTTGGAAAGTAATGGTACTTTTACTGGAGTATGATACTTCAGTATTCTTCACACCACTGCCTTCAATGCGCTTTTTCCATAATATACAAGTAATATTAGGCTTTAGACTGAAAAATCCAGTAAAAATATGCATGTATTAATAGGTAATTAAACCTTGGATTTGTTTCAAACTGTTGTTGGGGATTTCGATAAACAAATAGTTCTCATTTTAAAATGATGGTGTGGGATCTTTAATTGAACAAAAGGCAGCGAGCGATCCAGAGAGAAATCTAAATCAAATCAACATTTACTTTTCAAAACAGTCGCAGCAGTTCTCTTAGCAGAGTTCTTGAAGCAACTCAGCTGCAGATTGTTCCAAACATTTGGAGAAATAAGCACCTGCTGCTATTTATCTGCACCCATTTCCTGTTTTGGCTGCAACTCTTCCATTAAGATCAGTTCCGTCCTGGCCCGTGGTGTAGTGGACAGTGCGCAGGACATATAAGCATTCTCTCTCCCTCCCTTTCTTCCTGTCTCCCTCTACTGTCCTATCTGTTCACATCAAAAAACTAATAAACATATTTAAAAAAAAAAAAAAGATCAGTTCTGACTGCACAGATACAGATAACGTTTGAAAATGTGTATTTAAAAAAATAGTAGGATTTGACCCTTAAAAAGTAATAAATAATATAAACTATGATGAAAAAGTATTTATCAAATAAATCCCAGAATGCACATAAAACATAAAACTGATTTCATTGCACAACATCCCTCCCAGGACTGTCTTGACTGGCTGCATTCCCAAAAGAGCAGTTTCCCGGCTCCAAAAGCAAGATCACATGACTGCCCATATTGTGTTTCATCTCTGTGTTTGAAGACACACTGTAAAAATGGTCAGTTTTAACAGTTAAAATCATATGAAAATATGGTATATTGCTGCAAATTTACCAATATACTGTATGATCTAATACAGAAAATACATAAATTTTACACGTAATTTTTTTTTTTTTAAGAAACCCATTTGAAAACCCACAAGAAATCTAAATGTTCAAGTCGTGTTTTTGTCCTTTGCTTATATTGGAAATTTATAGTTGTTCTAAAAATATTGGAGAAAAGTGTTTTGTGAAAATAATGTGAAATAATAACCACTCAGCTCTGTGAAATAATCATATTATTTCAACAAACTTATAAATTATACATTGCTTAGAGCTGTACAAAAATACGGTAATGAACTGTAATTAATACAACATTATTAATTAATTAATAAAACTAAATGGTTAATAACGATAAAAAAATATAGTAATGAACCGTAATTATGGCAATATACACCTTTAAACAAGAAGGTTTGAAATTATAAATATAACGATTTAAACTGTAATATTTGACGAGTATAAACTCTTTTTAAAGCAAGATAATTGTTATTTTCACAGTTGTAAGGCAAAAAAAAATCAAAACTTTTATATGTAAAATTTACATTACTGCGGATGCAATCCCGTTAAACCAAATACGGTGCTACCAAATTTCTTTACTGTAACATTCTGGCAACCACAGTTACCAGTATTTTACCGTAAAATTAACGCTTTATTTTTTACAGTGCACAAATATGTTAATATATATGAAAAAAGGCATTTTCCTAATGAAGAAAGTTCTATTTTTTTATTTTTATTTTTGGCGCCAGTTTATCAGGAAGTGACTATTTGTTTTCATTGGATTGAAACAGTGCTTTCTTCACAAAGCTTTTATGCAATACTTTTTGCATAGTTTTGCACATACATTTAATGCGCATTCTTTACTTGGAGCAATTGTTCACACCTGCCTAAAACTTTTGCACAGTAAATCCAAGTTTTACAGGACAAATGTTCTATGAGTAACCATAGACGTGCATTTGACAGATAAAAGTTACATTTTTCTTGGTTCTTTGAGGTGTACCAATTCTCAGGGGGCAAGGGTACTGAAAAATGGAGCTGGGTCTAAAAACCTGAGATGTTGACAAAGAAGTCCGATATGAACACAACGATAATTAAAGATGCAAGCAGTGATCAAAGGGCTCGAGCACCTCCGGCACCATCACCTCATGGTGGCCAGTTTGTTGTACTACACGCTACAATGATCCTAATTTAGATGATGTGTTCATGCAAGGATTGTTAATTAATGAAACAAACAAGCAAATTAAATTATGAAAGCCACATCTCAAAGTGTCATGACCTCCATGGGTATTGTTTTAGCCAAGATTCTTCCATTTTTCAAATTTGGTAGGATAAAAAAAGAAATACCTAATCAATTTGAAATGTATTTGCTGTGGTGATGCTATAAACACAAGAATATGTTGTAGATGTTATATTTTGGACCTACCAGACTGTGTTATTAACAACGTCCTGTTTATGGCAACATTTCAACTTGACGGCAGCTGTACGCACCTTGTTTAATGTAATCAGAAAGCTTCGCAATTTAACATCCCAAATGCCTAAGAATAAGACTGGTGGAGATGAACAGATAAAATCTCTCAGAGGAGCAAAAGTGGCCATTTTTAGAGATTTTTGCTAAATAGTTGACTTCCTGTCCATGGCTGTTGGAGACACGATACCATTTACTTATAT